TGAGACTGCGTTTATTCTTTCGGTGAATGTTGTGAGGAGATTGCGGAGCTCCTTAATTGTGATTAGTCCTTGCTTGGTCATTTGAACACCCGGCTTATTCAAATCTGAGGTTAGGAAAGATCACTCATTTTCATTAATTTAGTATGAATTGGTTTCACTATTCCCTGGTGTTTCTGGAAAACACCAAGTCGTTCAATTTATCCCGCCCTCTTAGCAATTGGATGATCAGTCTGAATCCGCACGGACAGGATTAACATCGACTAGCAAGCTTTATGGACTGACAAAGATGGAAGCGTGACGCAGCGAGGACACGTTTCCAATACGTTACATTCTTCTCTGATGAGAGTACGCCAGTCTCATGAACTCAGGTTTGCATGAGCTGGCGCTCTATGACAGGCAATTTCACATGTTCGAATCAACATTGCTCACGAAAAAGCAGTTCACATTCCATTCCGGTCTGACTACCAGCTAACGAAAGCCACTTCACTATTCCTGTGCGCACCTATCACTCTGTAAATGTGGCACGGGTTCCAGGCTACTGTGATGACATACGCTGGTTGAAATCCACCAGTTTGTGTCCCCCAAGCCACCAGAGGTATACGTGGATACACAATTCTAAGTGTTCAAAACACTGTGTTCCGTTTAACAGCTTCCATTAGTGCGGAAGGAAGATGTGTTTCGATAGGTCGATATCGATATCAATGTCAATATAATTATAGGCATATGAAGCCAGTTAGCACGGAAACATTGCGAGTGTCAGGTGCACCAATAATTCAGAGAGCTGGAGCACCTTTGAGATCAATCTTGTGTATGAACAATTCGGCATATCATAAATTTCCTAGATGGCTGATTGGAATTCTGGACACGATTCGCAAAATGCTATCCCCATTACCTGAGGAATTCTTTTGAACCAGCAGAGACATTAAGACGCGCGTGGGCGAGTTCTCAAGCTCTATACGAACGTTCCTCTTCGTGTGACAATCGATGTATGTGGCTCTATTCCCAGCCAAAACTATAATATAGTTTTTCTGCTCGAAAGTTTAAGGATTTCATTTGACTGTGTCGAAAAATGTCAAGTTCAATTTTGAAGGGCTTTCTTCATAAACAAGTAGACGGAGTGGCTATGGGTATTCCGTTAGGCCCAACAATAGCCAACATCTTCTTGGGAATGATGGAACAGTGAGTCCCATAAAATATTATCAAAGCTTTACTGTACAAACGGTATGTCGATGATATTTTGAAGTTCCTCAATATCAAACATTTTGACTTGACTTTTAACCTTCTCAACTCTTTTCACGAAAATGCATAAAACTGCAGTTCTGTTTTTCAGATCTACGGTGAACAAGTTAGCAACGCACAAAGCTATCAGACACGAGGACGTGAACTACAACACAACTGCACAGTCCCACACGTAGTTACTTATCTATAGCCCACAACACAGCACTACGTAACATACTCATCATGATGGGGCATCAAGGCAGTCGGTCCGTCGTAAAGCAACATGGAGCTTTTTGGCGATAGCATACAAACGGGGTTCGGTGAAAACTATAACTCAGGGTCGCAGGCGTATTTGCACCACTGATAAACCACAGACAGCACAAGAGACGCTGAAGAAAACGTTGTCGGCATAGGGAAATCATGAAAATTTCATGGACGTTCTTAACATCACAAAGGAATGCGATGAGCCAATACAAACAGTTCAAAAGTAGGAAATATTTCTATTTCTACACTTCGAAGAGATTATCTGGCGAAAAAAATCAAGCACAAATTGCAATGTGCCCTTATCCTCGTACGTATGCAGCTGCCCAATTACGCTTGGTTCAAACCACCAAAGG